TGCAACTCAGATTCTGGTCCCAATTGTGATTGTAAGTCAAAGACTACCTATAATGTAAGGCCATTCTAAGAGTTATGGACAGAAAAGTCTACCAAGCCAGCTTTATAATATATGAGAAATCAGGAACAAGATTAGATGTGAACTTAAGATCCATCCCAAGATCTTTTCCCTCTGTTATTCCAAAAGAACATTTTTACAAACACCAATAAATAAATAATTTGCATATTTCTGTGCATCATAAGAAATGATGTTTAAAAAAAAACCATCCCCAAATATGTTTATAAATAATCACATTTGTGCTTTAAATTGGAGTTGAGAAATTATGGAACTTGTCCATGATACAATAGCTTTTGGAATAACAGAGGGAAAAGGTCTTGGGATGGATCTTAAGTTCACATCTAATACTCGTTCCTGATGTCTCATATATTATAAAGCTGGCTTGGTAGACTTTTCTGTCCATAACTCTTAGAATGGCCTTACATTATAGGTAGTCTTCAACTTACAATCACAATTGGGACCAGAATCTGAGTTGCTAAGCAAGGCGGCTGTTGAGTTGCGCCAAATTTATGATCTTTCTTTTTGCTACAGTTCAGTGAACCACTGAAGTTGTTAAGCGAATCTGGTTTCCCGCATTTACTTTGTCAGAAGTCAGCTAGGAAGGTTCCAAATGATCCCAGGTTATTGCAACTTCAGGTTGCCAAACACTCAAATTTCCAACCACGGGGATGCTGTGAATATTGTAAGTGTGAGGACTAGCCATAAGTTACTTTTTTCAGTGCTGTTGTAACTTTGGTCGCTAAATGAATGGCTATAGGTCAAGGACCATCTCTACTGTGCCCCCATTCAAAAAGAAGCAGAAATGAGGTAGTCAAGCTTGTGAACTATATTGCGCTTTGCAATTTTACAATTGTCATGAGCCTGTCTTCATCTTTTTGTGCCATAAAATGCTGCAAGGATAAAATCTCATAGCACCATAACCACAGTGATGCTTTCCAGTTTCCTGGAAAGTAAATATTTATTATATTTTTGAACTTGGGCACCAATAACCTGCCAGTAATAAGCCTGTTTCTGCAGTCTCCCAATGCCATCTCAAACTGCATTTGGTTGAAATCCTGTGACACCTTTTTCCTTTAATTTTGAGATTGAAATCCATGGGATAGACTTACAAGGAGGTTTAAAAGGGGAGGGGGATTCCCTCCCCAAATTCTGGTCTTGCCTTCATCATTATTCATCTGTTTTAACCCTCAACCCTGCTCTCTTATTAAATTGCGTGGGGAAAATCACACAACTTCCTTATTTCAACAAGACAGAGAAAGAAAACAGAAACTGAAAACAAAGTTCAAAGAATAGTACCAAACTATTGCTAATAATATCTTGTTCTAATATTTAAATCTTCAATAGACTTGTTAGCAAAAAAATTTGAATTTACCCTGGGAAACAGAAGACCATTTGATTGAAAAACTAAACTAGCCTTAAGAACGCACACTGGTGATAGGACTAGTTAATAATAAATAGCACTAAGAAATGTTAATGAGTTGCCATTCTTTTTCTCTTTGGAGAAAATAAAAGTTCAGGGGACACTTTCCCAACACTTACAAAATATGTACCAAGCTTGTGAATATCACTACATGTGATGTTAAAACGTGACTAGTTCATGGTTCGCTCACGATGCAATGCTAGGTAAATGATTCAATTCAATAAATCAAATCCAACTAATCACCTATTGTAAGAAAACTGCCATGTCCACTTTTCAGTCTTTCTCATCGACAATTGTTATGTCTAGGATGTTATGTGGCAGTTGCCTGTCGATTTGAATTCTAAAAAGCCCANAGGAGGAAGAAGGAGTATTAGTTATGTTCATCACCTTGAGTTACCATACTTACAAAAGAAATAATAAAGGTGGGATAAAAAGAAATCTAAACAAACAAATACTGATGATTCAAATTGATTATACTAGATGGATTACCTCCTAATGCTATTGCTGAGGAACAGAAATAGAAAATTACTGTTGCTCTTGTGTCCTGTTCATAGATTTCCTTCTGCACATCAGTCTGGCCCAAGGACGCTGGTTTTGGTCTTCCTGCATGCAGCACTGTTTAAGTTATTTTGACATAACTTAGAGTAAATGAAGTCTATCAGGGAAGGCAGAACAGTAAAGAAAAGGAAATGTGAATAAACAGTGACACATTGTCATAAGCAGTGTCCAAAAACATTAAAAGGTTTTGGACATCAAACATGGCTGAAATTACTTCTCAGCGACTTTTGGTGCAGTAAGAGTTTATACCAACTATTTTTGAAATATTGAGTCCAGTGAGTTCATCCATCACGTAACGTGAGGGGGGGGGAGACTACAGTGTAATCTTTGTGCTAAAAATAATCAACACGAGGTGACTTCCAGATATTTCGGGACAGCAACACTTACAATCCTCACCGTTGCTTATATCAGCTGGGGCTGGTGGCAGCTGAAGTCTAAAGACAGCATGAGGTTGCCTATGCCATTCAGTGCTTTCTCTTTCAACACTAAGCTACCAAGATCTCGTAATGCCATTTTTCTCAGTAATTATTGCAACTTTCTTATTATTGGTAATCATCGATATTTAAAGCCAATATAGATTTTTCATAAATATAATGAACTGACATATTAGGGGTGGCCTACATGGCCCATGAAAGAAAGTCTTTCAAATTAAACTTGACTGCTGGTAATTTATATGGCAATTTAGTTTTCTTGGCAAGATTTTCAGATTGTTTGTCCTTGCCTTCTTCTTCCTAGGGAGGAGAGATAATAAATGGCCCAAACTCTCCCAGCTGGTTTTGTGTCTAAAATGGGACTAGAACTCATAGTCCCTTGATTTTTAACTTGGTATCTTGATCAATACATCAAAATGGCTCTCCATCTCACTCACAGAAATGTATAACATTGGAAACCTGTATAGGCACACTATACAATTACACATGAAGGAAGGAAATGTAAGCTTATGATTACAGAGACAAACTGTCCCATTTTCATTTCCAGTTGGCCTGGATAAAATCTATTCCCCTAGCAGAAATGCATAGGATGTCCTTGAATCATATTTGTAAATTTGATAATCTCAATCAGAAAAGGCTTAATCCAGCATTCCAACTGAATCTCAGCCTGCTGTTCTCCAGATAGCCAATGCATTTGGAGGAACAATTATGAAATGCAGCTGCTCATACCGAGCTGTTTGTGCAATGGAACACAACTTTAATTTCCTGAAAAGCCACATAGTGGGGGGCTTCTGACACACACACACACACAGAGAGAGATGTTTGATGCTCTGTATATAAAATAGAGAGAGCCTAAAATGGGATTAAAGCAAAACAGGAGAAAGCTTATTTCAGAAAGAGAGACAATGTGATTCTCTAGGTGCCTATGGTCACTTAAGTAAGCTGGGGGGGGGATATTCTTTCTATCAAAACCCATGGCTGATTCTTCCACTTTAAATTATTTAGAAAGATTTTTTTTTTAAGCAAAATAGAATAGTAGACAAAGCCAATGCGCTTTCTTGTTTGCGCTTTCTCTGGTTGATTCAGATGTTGTATTCTCAACATTTTATTGTTTATCTTTGACTCAGATCCATTGGTACCCCTTTGGATGCAGTATCATATCTCAATTATTCAGCAGCCCCTCTACTCATTAATTTTGGGAAAGAAAGGAGAATTATCCTTGAAAAACTAATATAATCAACAGAGACAAGAGTTTATTGCAGGAGTGAACAATGTGTGGGCCATCATTTATTGCTCAACTACAACAACATACAACATCCTTTGCAATGGATTGGCTGAAGCTACTGGAAGTGGCAAGTTCAACAACATTGGTGGGTTACAGGTTGCTCACCACTGCTCTACAGTTTCCACCAATTTGTGGACTTGTTGTGCTACTAACAAAATAGCAGTAATAGTAACAGAACTGGAAGGTACCTTGGAGGTCATCTAGTCCAACCCTTGCAGGAGACCTATACTATTTCTAATAAATGATAGCCCAGTCTCTTCTTAAAAGCCTCCAGTGTTGGGGCAACTGCAATTTCCCAACGCAATAATATGTTCCACTGGTTAATTGTTCTCATTAGTAGGAATTTTCTCCTTAGTTCTAGGTTGCTTCTTTTCCTTGGTTAGTTTCCATCCATTGTTTCTTGTCCTGCCTACTGATTCTTTGGTAAATATGTTGGCCCCCTCTTCCTTATGGTAGCTCTTCAAGTATTGGAAGACTGCTATCATGTCACCCCTGGTCTTTCTTTTCACTAGACTAGGCATACCCAGTTCCCGCCATCATTCTTTGTATATTTTCACTTCCAGGCCCCTAAAAATTTTTGTTGCTCTTCTCTGAGCCCTATTATAGCAGAATCTCAATTCTATTCATTTTAATACAGTTCCTGGAAGAAAGAACACTGGGAAAAAGAGGGGACTGGTTTTACTATAAATTGTATAAGAAAATATTGCAGAAGTAAAGAAGTTTACGCTAGGCTCAGACCCAATGTTCTAATTAAAAATTAAAGTTTATTTTCTGCTTTTATTTATTTTCAGACTCATATCCTCTCCATATCTGTTACATAACATCGCCAATTTCAATTCTGCCTGCAAGTCTGATTTTGCTCATCTCTGGAAATGTTGGCACTGTTAATTCATGCCATTTTGGAAGTCTATACATCATAATAAACAATTGACACAAAATGCAGAAAAGAATTAGTAAGCTACAGGCAAGCGGTCCTTGTTTCCATACATGAATTCATATAGTGTTTGTTCTTTAAAAGATGTTTCTACTATAAAGTAATAGTAACGTTGAATTTAAATCCTGAGTTGTGTTACAGGTAAAATAAATACTAAGACTATCATTTTCTATGAGAAGACTTAGTTTATTAAGGCCAGGATAGGGGCATACTGTAGCTATGGTTGCATCCAGGAGTGGGCTGCTGGGGGTTCGCAGGGATTCGGGAGAACCTCTAGCTAAGATTCTGTGCAGTTTGGAGAAGCCCCAAATCCCACTCCTGGCTGGCACCGCCTACCCCTCCCCTCCCCTCCCCTCAGTCCCTACGCAGGTAAGTGCAGGGCACGCACGGAGGCGTGGGGAGGGCGAAAAACGGCCTACCGGAAGTTCGGAAAGGTGAGAAACAGGCCCGTTTCTGGGTTCCAGAAAGCCTCCAGAGTCTGGGGAGGGCAAAATCGCCTCCCCCACTCATGGTGCAGGAGGCTGACTAGGCCACACCCACCATGCCCATGCCCACCCAGCAACCGAGCAGACAACCCATTGCTAAAAGTTTTGAAGCCCACCACTGGTTGCATCTNAAATGATCAGCTGTCTGCAAGGAATATAAATCCTTCCATTCTTCACTGTCCAGTCAGAGCTGAAGAAGCTTCATGGATGAGAAGTGAAACGTCATCAAAGAAAAACCAGAAAGTCCAGTTGCCTCTTGGGGGTGGGGGGGAAGCACCTTTGGGACAACCATGATCTGGAGGACTGAGAATCTCCATAGGCATTTTACTTTATTGTAATGAAGACCACTTTGGTGACGAAAGACTCTAGGAAAGATTTCTGAAAATTTCAAAAAAGAAGAACGATACTTGGGTCCAGCTGCGGCAACCATGCCGTTTAGTTCCATTGAATATGAATCAGCTCCTCTGCGACTGAATAAACAATCAAATTGTAGATCGGTCGCGCACAGTAGTTCTCTGTCCGTTTTAAAGCTGTTTCATTTCTTTTGGCTTATAACCTCCTGCAGGTTGCTGATCGGGCTGCAGCAAGAGGCAGATTGTGTGCTACCAACCTCAAAATTTCTGAGCTAACCAGAGCGTTAAAGGGAACGGCCTTCCGAAATTAAAAGAGGACATGCCGTTTCTACAGATTGAAGGCCTTTGCTTCCTCCTCTGCAGAATACAGAACAAGAGACCTTGGAGGTCTTCTAGTCCACCCCGCTTCTCAAGCAGGAGACCTATACCAGTCATGGCTAAACTTTTGGTCGTTGCATGTCAAAAGTGGGCATGCCCCCGCACCTATAATGCAATGCAGATGTGACACCACCATCCCACGCGCCTCCCACCCCTGCGTAGGCACACGTGCCCCCCCCATGCCCCATTTTGGGCCTAGTAGGCTTCTCTGCAGCCTCCTGGGACCAAAAATGGGCCATGGGGAAAGTGCCCCCCACACACTCCCCCCACATGTGTATGTGACCCCCTCTGCTGTCCCTGCATCTCCCACATGTGCCCTGACCCCGTGCATATGTGGCAAAGACCTGGAAACCAGCTGGCCAGCAGGAGGTATGCACTCATGGGCAGTGGAGCTGAGCTGGGGCTCAGAGAGAGGGCTCTGCGTGCCTCCTGTGGCATGCATGCCATAGGTTTGCCATCACAGCCAGTGATGGGATTCAATTTTTTTTCTGTGGGCGTGGCTTGGTGGGTGTGGCTTGGTGGGTGTGGCAAGGGAAGGATGCTGTAAAATCTCCATTCCCTCCCCATTCCAGGGGAAGGTTACTGCAAAATCCCCATTCCCTCCAGATCAGCTGGGACTCGGAAGGCAGAGAATAGATGTGGGTGGGGCCAGTCAGATGTAGTATTTACCAGTTCTCCGAACTACTCAAAATTTCCGCTACCGGTTCTCCAGAACTGCTGAATCCCACTTCTGATCATGGGCATATACTATTTGGGACAAATGGCCGTCCAGTCTCTTCTTGAAAGCCTCCAGTGATGGAGCACCCACAATTTCTGAAGGCAACTTCCATTCCACTGGTTAATTTTTCTCACTGTCAGGAAATTTCTCCTGAATTCTTAAGGTTGGATCTCTCCTTCGTAAGCTCCCATCCATAACTTCTTGTCCTGTCCTCAGGTGCTTTAAGAGCATCAGTTGACCCCTTGTTCTCTTTGACCAACCATCAAATATTGAAAGATTGCGATGTCACCCCGAGACCAGCATTAGTAGATCGTGCTAACAGAAGAAAATGGAATAACACTTTTGCTGTGCGGACTATTTAAGGAAGAGAAAAATTCTATCCCAATATTTGTTTTTCTTCACTTTGATTTTTAGGGAAGGCTGTTGCTATCCACTCTGCTTTCGGAAGGAGAAAACAGAATAAATCTCATTTCGTGGACTGGCAGTTAGCACTTATTTTAAAGCTAGTAAACCAAGTGGCTGAATTTGCACAGAACTCAAGGTGAATTTTTTAGGGGGTAAACTAGAAGTTAATGTGTTTTAAGGCCGTTGTGCACATCCATCCACTCTGCAGCTTTCACATCTTGTGAAAGAACGGCGTGCCTGGAGCCAGCAATTTGCAACATTATAAGAGAGTTATAAAAATGCCACTTTTCTCAGAATTTCCTATTAAGGAGAGAAAGAAATGGGGTTTTTTTTCTCTACCTCGTGCACCAAATAATCTGAGGTTGTTGTTGTTTACCACGAGTTCTTGGATAGGAAAGTCTTGTGGATTCCATCTGCCCTTGGTGGGTATTGCAAGGAACCAACTCCTGGAAGGAGACGGAAGAACATTCCAGGCGATGCCGTCAAAGATAAAATATGACCAAGCAACCGTTCTCTTTGATTTCACGCTGTTTTCACCGTCAGGCAGTTTTGTCAGGCAACATTAACTCCAAAGATAATTGAATGCTATCAACTTCATGCCGTTCCACTGGGGAGGCCAATGCTTCAAATTTAAATTACACTCGGAAATAAGCCATCCTTTCCCCCCACTCCCCTAACATTCAGGAGGAAATCGATGGGGAATCAGTAAAAAAAAGTGGATTTTGTGCCTTGTTCAGACTTGCCGTATCTAGGCTGCCATTAGAGAGGACAGCAACCAGACACAGGAACTCATC